GACTTTCCATAGTTAAACAAATGAGTCTAAAAATAAGTCATTTTGATAAATAGGCACTGAAATTTCACAACATCATATTACAAGCTGATTATTTAAGGGGTTTATAAGGAAGTTACACAATCAATGTTCATGAATTTAACCAACAACAAAATAGGGATATTAAGACAGACCTAAACTACACCAATATCACTGCTTCATATGATTCACAGCACAATCTACTGCAGCCCAGGAAGGGTAATTCACAGAAGTATGGGCTTATTTGAAGCTTCAAAGATGTTGATCATGAATTTGCCTTCCTTTGAAGTGAGACGGCCAAAGCTGTTGTCCCATGCACATATATGTTGGTATTTACATTGTTTCACGGACATGGCCAGTCCACAGGCAGACCACTCATATGGGAAGCACCAAATGAGTTGCAATCACTTCTTATATGAACTTTAAATGACTCAAGTTGAGAAAGAACCTCTTCCAAGTGCAACCTGGTCACATAAGGGCACGTTCAGCAGCAGAAGTCTGTTTCCAGAACAGTCCTTGGTATGGCTAAATTCCATTGTCCCCTTTTCAGCAGTCAAAAATCCATGAAACATTCTGTATAACACTGCAGTCAATAACAGCAGCACCAGACAGTATATTAATTCTTTTACAATAAAGCTGTATGATATTATTACTTTCTATGTGTACAGTTATCAAAACATCACTGAATCTCTATGTATCCGATATATACGTCTGGGTAAATACACTGCTGTAGAAGATCTCTGACATGCAGATCATGCTATAGGGTTTGGGGATATGGAGTAATACATGTAATGTGATCAATACTAAAAGTGACAATGTCTTCCTAACAAAGAATAAACAAAATTAGGAATCAATGAACAATCTCAAGGATCCTTGATGCCTTAGAAAAATTATCATTCAATTCATATAATGGCATTTTTCTTCCTTAACATGCTCAATAAGCAGATACACTATTGCTATTGCATTCATAGGAATGTGTAAACAAAATTCCTTCCACTGGTCTAAATTAGAGTCCCTAGGGGTTATGTTCGGGAGTAATGATGAATGCTGGTTTCTAGGTTGCAGAAATGGTCACTTCAACAGACCACAATTCAATTGTAATATTGCTACCTACATCCTGCTTATCACAGAGGTTCACAGTACCAATAAAGTAGACTACAGGGCATTGTTAATTTATACATAAAGAAGAGAAGCTGTTCCAAACAGTAAAGAAGGCAGGCACTAGGGGAGAAGACCTAGGACAAAAATCATGAACTTCTTATATCAAGGTATTTCTGTACTTCATGGAGACAGATGGCATACAGTTAAGACAGGGGGCTAAGACAGACAAATGGAACAACATACAGGACAAAGCACCTGATTAAACACTGCTTGAAAATTGAATAAATCTTATGAGTCAGAAATTTAAGGCTGATCAAGAAAGACCTCCATGAACACCAATGCTCCTTGATGTTTACACCAAAATTAAGAAATAGAATAAACAATAAAAATAAGATTTTTTTTAATAAAAGAAAGGGATAAAAAGACACGAGAGCTCTGGGTGATATTTGGCACTCTGCCTCTAAAAATTATGACAAGTTCTGGGGTTTGAAAAAATGACTTTAATACCAAGCAGCAATTCCTGGCTAAACAATGCACGCCTGGCTGGCAGTTACCTTTCTCTCGTGTTTTGGGCCTTCCCCAAGCCATTAAGTAAGAGCTTTGGCCTCAGCTTGCGTGTAAGCAGTAATGACAACCTCTTTGCAGTTATCTGTGTGCAAACAACCAGAGACATTCAGAACACTAATACAATACTTTTCAATAGAAGTCAATGAATTAAGAAATTAAATTATTTGAAACAAATATTTCTTTTAAAGAGCAAAGGAAAATATCATCAAAGGAAATTTGCCTTCCCCTGCTATTCAACATGCAGAAAAGTAAGTCAATACTTTCATATCAACAGGATGAACTGCTGCAAGTACATATGTCCTGAGCCATCCTTGGTTCCCAAAACTGAGACACTCTTTTCAAGGTGACAGAGACAAGACAGTCCATGCAAATTAACTCACTTAGGGCTTATGTGCAATCAAGATAGGATCCCAGACATTTTCAAAATATATTAGAAAGTCATCCAAAAAAAAAAGAAGAAAAAAAAATAACGATCCAATGAAGTGCTTGGCATTTGGAAGCACATTATTTTAAATATGTCTCCCTGAAGGTATATGTATTTGTTCGTGTACTGGCCAATATCGGACACTATCTGTTGCTTTATTGCAAGAGACGATCAGGGCAATTAATATGGAGAAGTGGTAGCACTACTTTAGATAATCTTTAAAGTCAGGATAAGATTCATAAGCTATCCAAATAGCATTTCTGACTTCAGATAGTGGTATCATGCAGGATTTATATTGTATTAATGGAGATTGGAGTAACTCTACATTTAATTATTTTGAATATGGGGTAAACAGTACTTGAGTTAATACAATTTATCTGACTGATGCAATTTGGTTTACAAGATAGATGGGATAGGAGATCGAGAGCGCCTCAGAGGACAAGGAGAGTTGTAGGGTGATGTTACTGGAGAGAGCCTCAGAGCATTGCCTGCCAAGCCCGCTATGTTGTTTAAGCTTCTGGATTTTTCATATCCTTTTATGAAAAAATGCACAGATATCAGTTGAATTCAACCAGAAAATAGACAAACAACACCATGCAGGGTAAGCAAAAGTACTATCATTTTAACAAAAAAATTGTTTACAAATAAATAAAAATTGAAGCAATTTATAACTAAAAATGTTTACCATATCCATCACTTCCAAAAGAGTAAATTTACTGCAAGAGTAAGTTAAAATTTAACTACAGAAGAGTAAATTTACTCTAGCTTTCATTTTCAAAATTGCAAAAATCACAAATAACAGTGCCAATAATTCAAAATCCAAGTTTTTCTAGATTATAGTTTATATTGATGTGAATTTGGCTTATACTACACCAGAACTCTTAAAAATTAAGCAAAGCAACTTAAGTAAGATATAAACTGGTTAAAGTTTTTAAATTCAGAAGTTCCTAAAAGAACTAATAGGCTAACTTTTGTCTTTGTTTTCACATTATTTACCAAACTATTAAGCCATGCGTAGCATTTTTTCTTCTCTTTTTTTTCTTTTATTTTGTTTAATTTATTTTAGTTTGGGGACCACACCCAACCATCCTCAGGCCTTATTCCTGGCTCTGCACTCAGGGATCACTCCTGGTAGGACTCAGAGGAACCATGTTGGGTGCCAGGTATCAAACTGGGTGATCCACATGCAAGACAAACATCCCCGCCCTCTATATTATCTCTCCAGACCTTCAGCATGCTTTACTTTAACAAGTCTTTTTCCACCTTTTTTAATCTTTCAGCTTTATAGAGTTAATAGGATGGATCTCAAATAATGACATTAATAAATAATGCCATTATTTAGTGACTATACAGAGAAAATCCATTCCTAAGCCCTGAACTAAAAAAGTAAAAAGGATTTTGAAAAATGAGTGAAATATCTTGAGTCATAATTTCAGTGAAATTAAGTCAGAATTTGATTGTATGATCTTATTAGATGTCTCTCCCCTGCCTGGAATTAAAAACAATTTAATCTTATTTTTTTCCATTTTATTACTTTACATTCTAATTTTGTGGTCCTCCAAGCTACTTTTCTTTTTAAGTAATATATTTTTATGAGATTTCCTTGGAAGAATTCATTGTTTATTCTCCTTTCACTGGAAAAGGAGAACTTATCTAAGAAATTTACTGTTGTTTTGATTTATGAGCATTCATGTCCATATTTTTCTGTAGTGCTCATTCTCAACATAAACACACACAAACTTCTATCACACAAGATGTCTTCTTGTATATTTTGGTAGACATATCTGCACTTGTGGTAAACTTCTCTAGGAAACAATTTCTGCTACTGAGAAAATTATTTAACATTGTGTTTTGTTAATATTTTAAGGTTAAAACAGGAGTTGGTTGGTGCACTTTAATCTTCTCTGATTAATGAATAAATAGTTATTGGAAGGATATCTTAAATCATTTTAGTTGTATTTATTATTAAATTTGGACACACAACTTGGAGAATTTTTGAAATAACTTTTTCTGTCTGTATAAAATAAAAGTGTAAACTAGCCTCTAAAATAATTTAGATTTAAAAGAACTGGTTAAAAATGTATGAACCAGATAGGATGCTACTAATAATTATAATAAGAAATGACAAGATAACACACAAAGATTATGTGAAATTACTCAGAAATATTACCAAACCTAAGGGGTAGGGGGAAAGCAAAGCTGCAAAAGAATTAAGCAAAAGTATAGGAAATGTACATCTTCTCTCCATAGTATCCAAGAGCCTCCAGGAAGTCAAACATGTTTCATTGTTTTATAGTATTGTTCCTAGTTATATGTAAATCAATTGCTGTTATAAATGTTGAATTATTTTTGAATCTGTTTTTAACAAAAGACTATAAATTCTATATGCATAATATTTTATTTTAATAAACAATCTCAGTGTTCATTTGAAAATATATTAATTTAGTAACAATTAGTAAATTAGTAAAATTAGATTATCCATGAGTTCACTTCTTATTTAGTCTTTAATTGCAACAAGAAAATTGGTTTAAAATTTCCTCATCTTAATTTTACTGAATATAATGGACAAAAACATAGTTCCTGAGAATAAATAATATTGAACCTCATTTGCGCTAATTTATATATTCTACATTTTACACTGTTCTTAACAGTATGAGTTTATTTAAAGTAATATTGAAATTACTTATCTGAGTACAGTCAGTAAGCATTTTTTTGTTTGTGATGTTTTCCTAAAAATATTCTGCATAAATATGAACATCAACTCTATATATTGAAAATTGAATTCCTTTTAGGGAATTCATATGTGTTCTTATTGTTTCCCCACTATAGATAGTAACATATTATTCTAATACTTTTTATAATAGTCTATCAGTGTATTTGATCAAAAAAAAGTAGTTCAATGGAAACAGTCACTTCTTTCTATTTATAAAGGGGAGAATACTAAGAATTCTACAATCAAATTAGTAGACAACTTGAATGGTAAAAGAAGAGTTCACATGGTGATTTAATGGGTAGAAATAGAAGAAATCTATCATCTGCATAAAATGAGAGAGGGTAAAAAATGATGAATTCCTGAAAGACATGACAAGACAACACACAGAGATTAGGTGAAATTAGCCATAAATGTTACCATATCTAAGGGGGGAGGGGGGGAAGCATAGCTGCAAAAGAATTAAGCAAGAATGAAAAAGAAGTTAATTTTAGTGAAAATGACAGAATAAAAGAATTATAAATTTTCCATGATGCACTCATTGATAAATCAGTCATATTTGTGAGACAACATTTCATACAAGCTAAATATCTTATTAATTGCTTTGCTCATTAAATGCCATTTTACAAAAAAAAACTCTATCTTCACATAAAACCTTGTAATTTGCATAGTCTTTTTCCATCTTTAATCTCCTTCACAGTTTAAAATTCAAACTATTGTCTAACCTGGAAGAAAAAAGTTCTAGATAACTCCTGAAACATGTACTCTTGGTGTAACTATTTCACATGATAATATTAAGTAATGCTCAAAAAATACTTATAATCAACCACATACTACATATAAACATATATACATGCATATATAATTTGCTAAAATATATAAATATAAGATATCATTAGTTAGATATTATTTGATGTTTATTCTTTACTTTGTCTAAATACTACAATAGTATATTAACTATGTTCATAAAATATTCAAAAATTATTTCTATATAATACTTAAATTTAAAATAGCAAACGAACCTATTCAGACCATTGAACTACATTTTGTTGTACAGCAGGGAATGAAAGTAATCAGAATGAAGTAGCATTTAAAATATCACACCTTGCAAGACAAAAGAAGAGTTTCATTACTCTTCTTTGATACTCAAAGACATGTAGAAGAAAGGACAAGAAAGGGTTCAGAGAGAATGAAAGAGAAGTATAACATGGGCAATGAGATATTTTAAATGAACTGTGAGTCACAAAAGAAATATTACAGACTTAACAATAGAAAAGTATTCAATAGGGAGAAACTACAATGAATAGCAAATAAGCACAATTTTTTTGACAATAGCTAACATGAAAGTCTTGAAGTGTCTTTTCATTTCAATTCATTCTGTTGCATAAGAAATTATATACTTTTTACTGTTATCTCAATTAGCACAGACAAATAATTGTAGCAACAAAGCAGCTGGACACAACAAAGATGAAGGTAATCAAAGAGCAAACTGGCCTTTTGATAAAGGTACGCAAATAATTTATTAAGGAGAAGAAAAGGGGTCCAATAGCTCTAAGATAGCTAAATTTTACTCAAAAGAAAAAGAAAAAAAAGCAGCACCTAGGGAAGAGTTAAAAAGGCGTAATCAACGAAAACAGAATCATGTGATGGAGTGGAGCTCTAGTATTCTTTATATTCCTCAGCCAACAAAATGTATTCATTCGACAAATATTTAAGTGTCTTCAATGGGCCAGGCAATATTCAGTATAGACTGAAAAGAGTAATAAATTAAAATTATTATTATTAGCCTGAAGAAAATTTCAGTAAATACAAAAGTAATTGCTTAAGTAACTAGATATATTGTTCTCTATGACTAAGGATCTTGTATATTGCTCATTTCCAAGAAATGATAAAAACTGCTCCCAAACTGGATAAAAGATTACAATATGCAGAACATCTTATTTGAATAAAATATCAGTCATTGTTTTATAATTAATCACTTACTATATATAGGTATAGAGCTAATTAGTAAATGTTATTAATTGTACAAAATAACTTTTAAATACTCCAAAATGCATTACATTAAAATAATTTGGCAAGTGACAATTTTTTAAAACTTCATTAAATTCTACCCATAGAAAAATATCAAAACAAGAAATATAGAAGGGTGAAATGCTTTTCAACATGACAATCAAGTAAAGGATTATGTATTAATACGTATCTAAAATAAAGAAAGATGTGATGACAAGTGGAAAGAGCACTAAATCCAATCTTTCTAAGAAAATGATGAAAGACCATTCACATTCCACACAGTAGCATCGCTTAATTGCCACGTCATGTCATAGGAGCTGTTTAAACGAAGGCCTACCTTTCCTGATGCCTCCATCAGAAGCACACGTGTAATCACCTGTTGTCAGTAGAAAACATGTTTCCCCTCTTCTGTTTTTGTCTCTGGTACTAGATCGTCTGATGGGGAGCCTTTCTGGGGGTGATAATGGCGGCTCACTTCCTGTACTGTCGTCACCTGATAAGACTGGTCTCAGCACCATGCCCATTGACAGACAGTGATGGATGAGGAAATGAGACAGTACAGAGAGTTTACACCAAATGCTCTTAATACAATCACTCAATATACAAAACATAATAATCACATTATGATATAAAAAAAATTATCACTCACTACAAAAATTTACATGAAGCAAAATGGTAGAAGCAAAAGTACTGTGGAGGGTAGAATGAAAAAAATCCCCTGAGAAATTTAAATTCTACTTGTAACTTATTTAATGGGGAATGTATTTTCATAAAAGAAATGTGAACATGGGGGCAACAAAAATTAATATTTTATCTTAACATGCTCTCTATTTATTGTGGATACAATTCTTTAAAAAGTGGAGTTTATTGAAACAAAAATGCCTAATTAAATGTGTCTTTGTATTTCTTAAACACTTGCCTTTATTCTTTTTGGAAAGCAATTTTTCCAAAAATCTTAATAAAAATGATATTAAAGCTCACATATTTTGTGTGTAGGCACTCTGTTTTAAAGTGACAGAATATTTTTAGCATAACATTGGTACAAAATAAACTTCCAAATACCCTTGAAAGAACTGCCTTTTTGCTCTTACATGCTTGTAAAACATTTTCACATACTATTGCTCTAGCTACTAATTTGCCATAATAATGTTTACCCAGACTGAGAAGTCTTTTTCCATGCCCTTCAGAGCACTCTGAACAGGTACTCTGAAAACAAGTTGATGAAAGAAGCAGAACAAGCTAAACTCTTACTCTCATCAAGATATATTTGGCCTGTTGGCAGAAATCTAGACAGAATTCACACAAAAGAAAAGAAAAGGATAGTAGTAAACAGGCTTAGATTCTCTTTCTAAAATATCTGTGAGAATAAAAAGAATAGGAATTCAGCTATTCACAAGAAATAAAGTATCCAAAATCCAGTTTACAGATGGAATAGAACTCAGTGGATAGGGCAATTCGAAAAAGAGGAAATAAGAGTAATTGAACTTTTCCATTTATTGACCAAAAATGATGACTTATCCACTGAACAATAGAGGATTGATTATATGACCAAATTCCTTGTTTCATTTAAAGAGATTATGCTGAAATGCCCTACCAATGAAGAACAATGAAAACTGAACCAATCCTCCCAAATATTAATTAGGAAGACCTCCATTGTTAAAAGGGCTATCTTCCATAACACTTCTTTAGTGCTTAGGCCTTTGCAATGTAACAGCTGTTCTTCTTAAATAACTGCTTCTTGTGAATTAGATTGAGGTGCATAGCCCCAAGTGGCAGTGATAAAACTGAGGTAAACATATCAATCCAAATGAAAGAGAGATAAACATTTTGGGATGAAGGATGGAAAATGGTTAATACCATACCATCACAGCATGCAAAGAAACAAAGAAACATCAGCACAAAAGCAACAAAAAAGCAAAAGAAAATATTGGCATCATCAGCAAAGGGCATCCCACTAAAGCAGAAAATAACTCTATAGATATGCAAGACATGTACTTAGAGTTCATTGAGAAAAGCTATAATCTAGCTATCTACACACCTAACACAAACATGGTTGTGAAAAGTAAACCGAAATTCATGGACTTTTGCAGAAATGAAAATGATTGCCTTCTCCCTAAAGGACGCACTCGTCTAGAAGGTATTCAGTGACATGCATTTCAAATAGTGGCTTACCTGATCTGCTATGTTCCAGAAGTCGATTTTCTTTACCGAGACATGTGTCACTCTGTGTACTATTGCAGGCCATATTTAATTCTGTCTTGCAAAAGGTAGGCGAGCTAGCCTGAGGAGCAGGAGGAATGTGCTTCTTTCTTTTTCTTGGAAGTTTCTGCTTCGCCATTGCCAAGGAGTAGTACATTCCAAAATTGTTCACGATGACAGGCACTGGCATGGCTATTGTCAACACTCCAGCCAGAGCACACAGGGCTCCCACCAGCATTCCTGACCAAGTCTGAGGATACATGTCCCCGTAGCCCAAGGTAGTCATAGTCACCACAGCCCACCAAAACCCAATAGGTATGTTCTTAAACTGTGTGTGCTCACTAGCTGAAGGGTCATTAGGTTGAGCTCCTACTCGCTCCGCATAGTAGATCATGGTGGCAAATATCAAAACTCCAAGAGCCAGGAAGATTATCAGCAGCAAGAATTCATTAGTACTAGCTCGAAGAGTATGTCCAAGCACCCTCAGTCCTACAAAATGTCGGGTAAGCTTGAAGATTCTCAGTATCCGCACAAACCTTACCACCCTAAGGAATCCAAGAACATCTTTTGCAGCTTTGGATGAGAGCCCACTGAGTCCCACCTCTAAGTAAAAGGGTAGGATGGCTACAAAGTCAATGATATTCAGGAGATTTTTGATGAATTCAAGTTTATTGGGGGAAAATACAATACGGACTAAAAATTCAAAAGTAAACCATATCACACACACTCCTTCTACATACGTCAAGGCAGGATCCGTTTCAATTTCATACTGCAGAACGACACTTGTGCCATTGATAACAGGTTCTGTCTTGTTTTTAACAATGTTGAAAGCTTCATGTGTCTCCAGACAAAACGTTGTGATTGAAACCAGGATGAAGAACAAAGAAGCAAAAGCAATGAACTGTAGGGGTAATAAAGAAAAGAAAAGAAAAAAGATTGTAATCTGAACCATAATATGCTCTACCCAAATCTACAAGCATTAATTTCTATAGATTAAAAAAAGTAAAATCATACTTAAAAATTATACGTGGCATAATTTAAGTTAAAAAATAGGTATGTAGGTAACAAATAGAGCTTCATATTAGATCATGTATATTCATTTTTTTTTCCAAAGGTAAAAAAAGTATTATCTTTCTGTCACTGTCACTGTCCTCCCCTTGTTCGTCAATTTGCTCGAGCGGGCACCAGTAACATCTCACAACAAATTGTGAGACTTGTTGTTACTGTTTTGGGCCTACTGAATACATCACAGGGAGCTTGCTGGGCTCTCTGAGAGGGGCTTTCTATTGCAAAAAAAAATTTTTTGACCCTTTAATATGAAAAGACGATATTAACTCTAAACTAAAGAATACAGAATAAATACAAATATTGCTTTAAAACTAGAAATCTTCATCTCTTACATAAAATTCTATATCTATAATATAGATAAAGTAATTAACCACACTAATGGAAATACATAGCATTGTAGCACTGTAGCACTGTCCTCCCATTGTTCATTGATTTGCTCGAGCATGCGCCAGTAATGTCTCTATTGTGAGAATTATTGTTACTGGTTTTGGCATATCAAATACATAATCTTCTAAAATTCAGTTTTTATTTTTTAATAAAGACAGTTTCATAGTCATGAGGCATAAATGCAAAAATAAACAAATGGACAAAACATCTTTGATCCATGTTACTAGTGTTACTAACTTGCATCAATTTAAGGCGAGGATTGATTCAAAAGAATAAATCAATGAGAGAATAGTCAAAAACAATAAAGAGAAAAAAGTAAATGGCAAATTAAAGGACAATTTTTCACCTATAGAATCAGTATTGTAGCTTAAAGATTTAATCTTGCGATTTTTATGGTACCGAGTTTAAACCTCCAGTATTTTATGTGCACTGTGCTCAATCAAGTAGTTCTTTGTCCATTATCTATTGGTAAGCACCATAGACACCTAGTTCTCTGATAATTCTGTAAGTTTTGCAATATTAATAAGCAACTAATAGACTGTTCTATGAATGTCTAAATGAATTATTCAGATGCAAGAGATTATCATTCAACTAGAACCAATCAAGTAGAGAAGTCGTTATTTGGTAAAAATAGGGTTTATCTCAAGCCGAAAGCTATCCTTTAATATCTGTTCTGCAATAATAACACTGAAAAGATCATGGTTTCAAATGAGATAGAAATCACCATCTTTTCCACCTAGGTGAGTTTCAATTCATGAGATATATGAGATATACAGAAAAATAGAGGCTGGAGCAATAGCACAGCAGGTAGAGCATTTCCTTTGCAGGCAGCTGACCCGGGTTCGATTCCCAGCATCCCATATGGTCCCAGAGCACCTCTATGGTAATTCCTGAGGGCAGAACCAGGAATAACTGCTGTGCATTGCCGGACATGACCCAAAAAAGCAATAAATAAATAAATAAATATAACCAAAAGTACTTAAAATGGGGTCAGAGCTATAGTTCAGCACATAGGGCACTTACCTTACATGCAGCCAATCCTTGTTTGATCCAGAGCACCCATATGGTTCCCTAAGTCCACCAGGAGTGATCCCAAGGACAGAGCCAGGAGTATACCCTGAGCACAGCTAGCTAAGTCTGGCCCCAAGTCAAAATCAAACACTTAAAAATATTGTTATCTTCCTCAAAAAAAAACCCATTACAAATTTAGAAACAGCTGTCATGCAGGTTTGCACTAATTTTTACAATACTCTGACAATAATTAAACATTTTGTTTTGTTTTGATGCAGGGGGAGGCTGCAAACCTGACTGTATTCAAGAATTATCCCTGTTTTGTGCTCAGGAATATACCTGCATGATGTATGATCTCTCCAGCCTTCTCATAGTAATATAAAAACATGTCATTTTCATTGTTTAGACTTTCTATCCACAACTTCCAAATTCCCTTGACATTGGCATTATAATTTGAAGCTTCATTCTTCCTGGACACATTGCATGATTTAAGAATAATTTTTACTCGACTTTCTTAATGTACACACAATTTCAGTTCTATTTTTAATCAAGTGGTTGTTGTAACACATAGTATTACTAAAACCTAATGACAGTTTTAGAGAATGAATCAATTATCTTTAATATACATAATTTCTCAATCTAATCATATTTATATTGTGAGTCATTCTTATTTCTGATTCAGTCTAAAATATTATTCCCACTGTATGCCTTTGACTCCGCTGCCACTCCCACCTTCCACCATCCTTAATAGTCTGCAGATTTCATTAAAAGTTTTAATAAAAAATTCTACGTATAAGATAGTAAAGGAGATTTTTTTACAGCATTCAGCTGAAGAGAAGGACAACATGGAGGGCGGGATCCACAGATCCCGAAGGAAAAAAAAAAAAACAGGTTCCAAAAAGAGCTGAGATCATCGGGAAGCCCCAGATGGGGTAGGTACCGCATCCCGCCTCGCCCAGATGGAACCCCGGTGACCAGAAGCCTCTACAACCACAGCTCGAGTATGCAGGAACTTGGACTTTTCCTCAAAACCGCGCGGCCGCATGACATCTCTCTATATACAAAGTGATCCATGGGAAGTAAACCACCCAATATTTCTCTCTGAAAATCATAGTTAAGTTTGGAGCACGGCCACAGCCCCAGAAACACAAGGACTTAATGCAGAACCCAGCAGCTTGGAGCAGAAAAGTGAATGGGCTATGCGTTAATCCAGGCCATCATGTCTGCCCGGAGGGGAAAGGGTGTTGGTCCCTTCCGCCCTCCTCCCTCTGGAAAGAAAGATGGCGGCCACATGGGAGCCTTGTGGACAGCAGGTATGAGCCGGGGGTGTGGGGGCAACTAAAACCTCATGGGAAGGGGGGCGTTCCGGTCCGTCCTTCACGCCCTACCGAGGTCACCAGTTGCCCCCCGCGAGCGGCTCTCCAGCACGGCCACGGCCCCAGAAGCACAAGGACTTAATGCAGAACCCGACAGCTTGGAGCAGAAAAGTGAAAGGACCATGCGTTAATCCAGGCCATCAAGTCTGCCAGAGGAGAAAGGGTGTTGCCCCATTCGCCCTCTCTTCTCTGGAAAGAAGGATGGCGGCTGCATGGGAGCCTTGTGGACAGTAGGTATGAGCCGGGGGAGTGGGGGCGACTAAAACCTCATGGGAAGGGGGGCGTTCCGGTCCGTCCTTCACTCCCTACCGAGGTCACCAGTTGCCCCCCGCGAGCGGCTCTCCAGCACGGCCACGGCCCCAGAAGCACAAGGACTTAATGCAGAACCCGACAGCTTGGAGCAAAAAAGTGAACGGACTATGCGTTAATCCAGGCCATCAGGTCTGTCCGGAGGGGAAAGGGTGTTGCCCTAGTTGCCTTCTCCTCTCTGGAAAGAAAGATGGCGGCCGCATGGGAGCCTTGTGGACAGCAGGTATGAGCCGGGGGAGTGGGGGCGACTAAAACCTCATGGGAAGGGGGGCGTTCCAGTCCGCCCTTCACGCCCTACCGAGGTCACCAGTTGCCCCCCATGAGCGGCTCTCCAGCACGGCCACAGCCCCAGAAGCACAAGGACTTAATGCAGAACCCAGCAGCTTGGAGCAGAAAAGTGAAAGGACTATGCGTTAATCCAGGCCATCATGTCTGCCAGGAGGGGAAAGGGTGTTGGTCCCTTCCGCCCTCCTCCCTCTGTAAAGAAAGATGGCGGCCACATGGGAGCCTTGTGGACAGCAGGTATGAGCTGGGGATGTGGGGGCAACTAAAACCTCATGGGAAGGGGGGCGTTCCGGTCCATCCTTCATGCCCTACCGAGGTCACCAGTTGCCCCCCGCGAGCGGCTCTCCAGCACGGCCATGGCCCCAGAAGCACAAGGACTTAATGCAGAACCCGGCAGCTTGGAGCAGAAAAGTGAACGGACTATGTGTTAATCCAGGCCATCAGGTCTGTCCGGAGGGGAAAGGGTGTTGCCCCCGTCGCCTTCTCCTCTCTGGAAAGAAAGATGGTGGCCGCATGGGAGCCTTGTGGACAGCAGGTATGAGCCGGGAGTGTGGGGGCGACTAAAACCTCATGGGAAGGGGGGCGTTTCGCTCCGCCCTTCACGCCCTACCGAGGCCACCGGTTGCCCCCCGCGAGCGGCTCTCCAGCACGGCCACGACTCCAGAACACAGAAACCAATTTCTTAACTATCTGACTTTCAGTAGAAATACTTCCAGGGTCAATAGGTAAAATAGCAGAAATCCAAAACCAACATTTAATTCTTGAACCCAGCTGTAGAAAGCAAATCACTTCACAATGCTTTTTCAGCATGTCTGATTTGGGGGGGGGTAAACTCTAAATAATAGTGGTGAATCTTTTATAGAAACAATGAATCTAATCAAAGCAGATAGAGTGTTAACTAGAATTCATTTGCCTCACAGGGACGGGGAGGGGTGGGGGGTGGGGGTTTATTGGGGTTCTTCATGGTAAAAAATAAGTATTGGTAAAGGGAAATGTGTTTGATATTTGCATGACTGAGACATAAACCTGAAAGCTTTGTAACCTTTCCCACAGTGATTCAATAAATAAATAAAAAAAAAAAAAAGAAAAGTAGCTAGGGTACTTACCTTTCACAAGGCTGACCTGGGGTTTTGATCCTCAGCACCCAACATATCCCATGAGACCCAATAGGCATTATCCCTGAGGACCTCTGGCTGTGGTCCTTCCCCCAAAGCAAAAAACGAAGTATACCATGTGCTTGCTTGATATACATTGTAGAATGGTTACCAAGATCAAAATAATTAAAACATTCATCAGCCCACATTGTTGACATAATAATTCCTATTAAAAAATTGATAAGAATGCGTAAGATATACCCTCAGCAACTTTTTAGTAAACAATCCCTTATTATTGACTATTGTTACCATATAGCTCAGATCTTCATAATTTCTTTTTATTTTTTAACAAAAAATTATTTTATTTAAAA